AGAGTGGGCAGCGGAAGGTTTAGCCTTTTTTTTTCCTCCTCCCCCCCTCCCTCCTCTCATAGGACTGTAAAAATTTGTGTTGTGAGGGCCTAAAACAGAGATACTTGGGTTTCTGATTTTATCAGTTATGGACCTAATAATATCTTTCAGAATTTGTGCACACAAGCCAAGACTTTAAAATGTTTATTATGTCACTTAATTAGAAGATGACAATCGTGCTGACTCAAAGGTAGTATTTTTTTAAAAAGTTCACAACACATCATAGGTATCTGTTACTTGTTGCACATTTTGGTTGAAGCTCATGAACTAGTGATTAAATAAACTCCCTTGTGAATACCAGTTATGATGGATACGCTTTCACACTGATGCTTAACCAACAGCAAGAAATTTCAGGGCCTCAGTTATAAAAGTCTCCACTATGAACTTACCCTATCAATTTGAGGCTGTGGCAAAACTGGTAAATAAATAAACAGATACACACATTTATTTAAATAAATCTTTTAATATAAAATGCAGAACAAATTGTTCAAACTGGCTGACTTCATTATTGATAATTCAGTGCATTTTGTACTCTGAGGTGTGTTCCCTTTTTAGAAAATACCACTTGATACTACTGTGCAAACAAACAACATGATTTACATGCTAATAGCATAGTTTATTTCTTCAAAAGGTATCATCTGGCATTTAAACTTGTATTGCATGTATGTGTGGTTTTGTGTTTGGTGCCAGGCTCTTTTTAACATACCTGTCCACAAAGTTGCTATGGTGTCGTCATGCCATGACTAATGAGATTTTTTTTAGTACCAGTTTAATGAGGTTTGTTTATAAAAAATATAAAAAAGTATTTGTTGCTATCTAATTGTTAATAATTATTTTAATATTTTACAAACTAGTATACCTCTTAACATTTCTTCCTTACAGTTATACATGTCTTTTAGGCTGTATTTGTTGCAGACCCTTGCAGGTTGTAAAATAGAAAAGGAAAAGCTGTTGTGAATAAGCATGCTGAGTGAATGAAATGTCTTCTTTTGCATAGCATAAATAAATATCAAAACTAAAAGCTCTTCATTCAAAACCACTATCTGAGTGTAACCTCATTATCACAAATACAGATAAATAATAATTTGGTTCAATTTAATTTACCTTAAAGATTTGGGGAAAATTAAAAAAAATCCATAACATTGAAGATATTTAAAAACACCAGTTTTAAAAGCTAAAAATAAAAAATTTAGTACTTCTCCTTGAGGAAAGTATCCACATAAGGGGGAAAAAGCAAGGTACACAAGTAAATGTATCACAGATGAGGAAACGGAACAGGAACTCATTCACCATCACTCACTTTCATGGAAGAAAGTCGAGAATGATTCAGTTGCAGAGGATGAAGGTAAGACAATACTGAATCAGATACTCATTGTTTTTCAGCATCTATTTGCAGACTGACCACATGAGTTATAGAATTAATTGGGACATTATGTTTGCTTGGACCTATGATGGTGAAAGTAGTGAGGAAAAATGCAATAGCCTCCTGGGCCTCTCTCCTCAAAGGAACACCAGGAAAAGCCTAATAGTTCTGAATAAATGCAAAGCACAGAGTATCTCTTAGGAATACATAAATCCACAGTGAATTTAAGGTGAAGATGAACTTAAGCTACCATTTTTCTTTCAGTGCTAAAAAATAATAAAACAAGGTCACTTTGTGTATGAAGAATCAAGTACTCAAGACTAAAACACATTTTTCTTCTGTATGTAACTTTGATTTAAAATTTGTTTCCCCCCCCCCGACATTCTCCCTGCCCCCCCATCACCAGAAACTAAATTCCAAGTTTTTCTAGGCCTATATAACTAACTACACTTACACTGATGGCCTAGCTCCTTTAATTCTAATTAAAACTAAACAGATTTCCTCATTCAGAAGCCTCAGCTTGTAGACTTTCTAACAGACCACAGTCTGGGTTTGCCAGACCTTTGAACATGCAGTCTTCCTCCTCAAATGTAGTTTTTTTCTGCTTGTACTACGGTAATTACTGATCTCCAGTCTTCATGCAAATATCTTTATAATTCTTTCAATAAAAAGGCTCATTTTCATTATCTTGTTTCTGTTCTGATTGGACCAAGTATTTAGGCATTACGAGAACACTGCCATCGCTACTGCAATGCATGACATACTGGCATGGGTTAACAGGTCTGCCCTGGTCATCCCTCAATCTACTGAAAATGTCATGGTACAAGTTGTTTAACTTTTCCTTCATCTGGTTGATCGATCTGCTACACTGAGAGTGCTCCTTTTTAAGGCTCTCCTTTTGTGTTTGAAGATTACATATGTCTTCTTCCAAGTTAAGAATTGCATTCAGTTTACGCTTACGACAATTCTGGGCAGCAACTTTGTTCTTTCCTCTTCGTCTGATGTCACGTAGAAGCGATACCTGAGCATCTGTCAGATGGTTCTTTGCTAGCATGGTGCTGAACAAGTCGACGGGCATGCTCACAATTTCATCTACCGAAAATGGTATTCTCTGAGCTTTTGCTTGGCGTTCATTGCTGCTGAGGTTTTTATCAGTAGAATTACGGCACCTATCCTTTACTTTGTTTGGTTTCTCCATCCACGTCTGCTGCTGATGCTCCCGAGTGGATGCTGCTTGACCTGGCAGCTGACTGTAACTGTGGTTATGAAGAAACTCCTTAAGCGTGGTTTCTCTAGAACACTCTGAATTACCTGGATATTCCACATAGCCATATTTACTGTGTTCTTGGCTATGGCCACCAACAGCTCCTAAGCCATGTGAAGAAACAGATTTAACGTCGCTGCTGTACCCAATAGCACCTTCACTGCAGACAGAGTAAGGGGCGATGCTGTGACTTGAATTCAAAGACAGTCCCAAATCAGAGCCAGGTTCTTCAAAGAGCTGAGAAACTGGTACAGGATCAAAGCCTTCCTCCAAAGCCAAAGACATGAGTTTATTTTCATCAAAATTATCATCGTAAGCCATTAGGTTTCTAATGTCAGCAGCTGAAAACAGCCCTGTCAAATTTGACCCGTGAAGTAGTGATTCTGTATTTGTGACATTAGAGCTTGACTGAGGAAAAGACTCTTGCCTTTGTAAATGTCTTGTTTCTGAATTTGTTTGAGTGGGGTAGTCTGTTCTTAGTAGCGTGGCATCATGAGGACTGAAACAGTGGCAAAGTGCCCGGGTCACACTTGTATTGTGTGAGGATGATGGGTCTTGGCCTCTACTAGCAGTAGCAAATTGTGTATCTTCCAGTAAACTTGCCTATAAGACGATGAGGGGAAAAAGGGGATCTTTTGTAAAATGAATGCCTCTACATTCTTCACCTACACAGTCTTCATCAATTGATTTTTTTTTAATATACCGATATTTGAAACTATTAAAGTAAAAATTTTATATGTTAAACTCTTCTTCTAGCTATCGTGAATACTGTTTCCCAGTTGTACACAGCATAACCTGCATTGGCATAAGGCAAGAGGAAGTGAGAAGGGTGCAGGAGAAAAGTGACTGAAGGGATGGGAGGAGGAGGAGGAGGACTGGCGAAGGGCAATGTGGGACTGAGGAGTGTTATTTAAGAAGTGGAAATGGGACTGTTGCTAAGTATACACCAAACTACAGCCTACGTGTTCATCTGCTCTGGGCTAAGAAAAGGTCCTTCTAGCAGAGGCAGTCCTGCCCCTTCCCTGGTAGTGGTGTTGATGATCATCCAATTCCAGGGAGAGCTGGTTCAAGGTGCTACACTGTTAGAAAATTAACCTTGTAAAGATGATAAATAGCTCACTGGCAGGACTTAACCAGTGAGAACAGTGGTGTAAGAAAGGAGGGGAGGAGGACAGAAACGTTAAGGTCAGGTCATGCTGGCACATTCTCACTGCTTTTCTTTCACAGTTCATAAAGATTCTGGGGCTGTGAGCTGCCACATTTGGCTTAGCTCCTTCTTAACTGAGGTCTCTTGTGTTCAGATTTAAACTCAGCTCCTTTACTAATCAGCTTGGAGGAAACGTCCTCCTCCCAGATCACACCTTCTCTGTTTTGACTTTAAATTACTACTCAGTTTTTTCTTTACAAAAATAAAGCTGCTGTATGATTCCTCAGCCCTGAAGCCCAGATGATAAACAAGTGCTGCAGTAGCACCGAGGCCCACCTTTTGGGGGCCTGGGTTATAGTTGCTGGGTCCTGCAACTATACAGTACAGAAGTACAAAGTCACTGTGCAAGATTATGTGAGGGCACTTGCTGACGAGCACTCATAAAATACATGGATACAAAAAACTGGATACTTGAGAATGTAAATATGTCAAGTAGGAAGCGTATGATGTGATTCTTCCATAGCTGAGCATCCATACTGTGGTGCAAGAAATTACTTTTCTGACTGCAGTTCATTGAACAATGTAAAAAGCACTTTCCACAGGGAAGGAATTATGTACCATAAAGACCAGAACGTCATAAGTTCTCTATTATGCTTATTGGGAGCTGAGGTAACAGAAGAAAGTCTTGCCTTTTTTCTCCTAGGGAGTTACCTTGTACTGGACCATCTGTAGTCTGAGAGATAGAGCTTGTATTTTTAATTAAGCCCTTGAAAAAAAAGTCCCCCTCACTGTAAAGACTTGGCACCAGGAAAAAACAAGCAATCCATTTTCAACAGATAGACTGTCACAAGATGGCAGTGCATTAATAATCTTAAATAAAACAAGCAACCGTGCATTGTTATAGCTACAGAAAGGCTACAGCCAAATTCCTTTCTAATTATGAAAAGAACAGAGAAAAATAAACTGACAAACTTCTGAAGCTTGTTAGTGTGGAATCCATTACCAAAAGTTAACAGAGGATGAGGCTAATTTATGCACTGGGAGGCACTATCCAACCTAAAGATTTGCAAAACTAGGTGTTCCAGAGATAAACTTGAAGTCATATGGAAAATACTAATCACTCTGTAAGGCTCCTACAGTGGGAAGTGTACGTAAGATGCCCTTGGAGTATTGCAAAAGTGGAACGTAGGGAGTAGCTTCATGGCTAATGATTGCGGCTATGAACTGTGGGAGAGGAGGAAGACTCCAGTTAAGATATCAACTATTTTTTTGTGAAGATGGGCACCCAGAAAATAAACAATGGTATCAGAAGCCCAGAAGATAAAAAAAGAAAACAAAGTGTTTTTGCTGCTAATGCTGACTGACCCGATTTGCAGCGAAGATGGGTCTGTTCTTGAGGGTAGAATCCTCGTAAGCGCTTGACCCAATATTTATGGCAACTCCAATCTATGGCTGCAAATGCTTAATAGCTGCTAGTGCTTAATAACTCAGTGTTGCTCTAGAGAAACACACCAAGAGCTGCTGTATACACACAAGTTGGCATCAGGTTTCAGAAAGGGAATTATTAGTTGAACTAATTAAGTTGTCCAGCGGCTCCACTCCACTTTGAACACCAGGTGACAGAGAAGACAGGACTCTGCAGTTTTCAAATCCCAGACAACTTACTGGGGAAAACTTTTCAAGTAGAGCCAATGACAGCTGCTGTAAAGAGTGGATATTTAGCATCTTTAACATCTTCAGGTAAGTTTTACTGAATTGATTTGCTTATATATTCACTGTTTGTTTTTTTCTTTAATTAGACACAACAGAGTAAGTCATTATCCAATAATCACTGACTGTATCCCTATCTATTAGCAATATGTGTGTTTCCCCACTTACCTCTAGTATGTTTTCCATCTGTGATGACAGAAGTTGGAAATAGCCCTCTAAGGACAGAAGGGAATCTACATGGCTGCAGGTGCTCTGTGACAGAAGAAACAGAAACACTTTGTAAAACAGTTATTTTACATAAAAGGAGGTAAAAATCAAAGTTCAAGAGGAAATAGAGCACAGCTCTGCGAAGCACTGCTGCTGACCCTGCCATCAAGTCTTCATCCTGATGTGAGATAGCACATTGCTAGGACTAGCGGAGTAACTCCATGGCAAGAGCATCCTAGTCTACCCCACAACAGCAGAACCAGGCTTTCCTCCTCTCTGAGGCTGCACCTCCCCACCATTGTGGAAAAAAGCCTAGCTGCCAGGGCAGTGGCGAACAGAGGGGCTGGTAGGAAAACCACATCCAGTGTTCTCAGCTCTCTCTAAAAAGAATGAATGCTTTTTTCATTGTAGCTCTGAGAGAGAACAAAACCCAAAGTGCCTCTGTTTCAGTTTAACATCAAAATTATTTTTCTGCCTTCTAGTTACAAGACACATGTTAAGATCTGAACAATCCAGCTTCCCAAATGTAATTCTACATCTGAGCCTCAAGCTTTACATAAATGGTAAAAGCAGTATAATTTAGCATCCACGTCTCAAATGTCTGTAGGCCAAAAAAACCCACCTTCACAATGGAGAAAACAAAACCAAATTGAAAAAAGATTAGTTACAAATGAAAACAAAACCAAATTGAAAAATGGTTAGTTACAAATGATTTCTGTAAACTTTAGAACATTTCAACTACATAAGCTATACTGGGGGTGGAGAGCAATTTTCAAGAAGGTGTACAAGGGCATCATTCACAAAGTATCACCTGAAGTCACTGTTCCTTTCCTGCCCTTTGTGAAGGACACTCCAAATGAAAAGAGGAAATCAAATATTCCTTTCAAAACCATTCATTCAATTTCTTTCACTACTCTTTATCTCAGTAATAAGACCTATATCCTTCCTCACTTCCTCTTCATAGTTTTCCCTTCTTCCATTTTTTTCATCATTTACTTGATTTATGTCTTCCTCCTGTTTGAGTTGATCATGTCCTTGATGTGGAAAGCAGTCATCCAAAGCTTCCTGACATGCTTTGAGGTCAACATCCTGAAGACACAAAAAAACCCAGTTCTATTAAGCAACAATTTATCAAAATTAATCTTTAAAATTAACTTTTTTTTCCTTTTTTTTTTTAAAAAAGCTATAGCATTTCAAATAAAGTATACACAGAACAGTTAATTCATGTGGCTGAACTGACTCTGTGTAGACTTTGGGGGCAGAATGAGACGGAGGTCAGTTCAGGAGTGCAGACACTGCCTCCTCTTTCAGTGCCTAGGCACTAAACCCATCTGGGGTAGAAATGGACATTCATAAACACTGGAAACAAATTCTCCTAAAACAGGCACATGATGATGTCATTTCATGGAAAGATTGGGCTATCAGTGTCTTTTTGATGTTATTTCACAACAACATATCCAAGCCAGATATATACGTGGTGATGGAATTGTAGAATAGGCAATTATACATGGCCAGTTAGCAAAATCCCTTGCTTTTTCATTCAGGAAAACAATCACATTAACATATATTTTAACAGCAGCTCTGTTTCCCCATCACTTCCATGTAGTCACTACTCAATTCTCACTTATCCAAATGATGGTTTGGTGGTTTTTTTTTAATCTCCAGTAATGAAATTGTTCTGATTTAATAGTCTCAGAAGTACTTTTCAAGTTATCTTTTATCTATAGTTAGCAGACTTTCACAATTTTTATTATAGGGTTGGGGTATTGCTAGGGGAAGAAGGAATAGCTAAGGAATTTGCATATTTATATTTTTCAAAAATCTTTGATATTTCAGCTCTTATAGGGCAGGTCTGAGTTATTAAAATGTGAAAGTCGGTGGAATGGCAGCCAGAAAACCAAGTGGCCCCACTGCATTAGTTTCATATATCCCCAGCGAAATGCTATGACAGGAGCAGAAAAGACAAGCTCTCAACAGCAGCAAACATAATGAGTTAGTGTTCCATTCTAAAAATCATAACAAACATACTTCACAGGTTTTATATGAAAGCATAAACTATATAAAAACTGCAGTTGTAATGGTCATTAAAATGTGTAAGAGATTTTTAAAAATTATTGCTTCATACAAGACACATAAAAAATTAAATGTAAGGTTTAAAAACAGGACTCGAGTAAAATTAAATATAAATTTAAAATAAAGTAATATTAATTTCATTTTTATTAATTCTATGAAAATGTATTTTTAAAACTTATGAAAAATAATTTTAGTTTTAACTGATTTTATTTGTTGGCTTTCAATTTTTCTGCATTTTCTTTTCAAGGATTGGAAGGGAACTTTGATTTTATAAATGTCATTTCTAATAACAAATAGATATGCAGGGCCCTCATCTGTCAACCTGATGCAAGAGGTACTTTCCTTCAATGAACAACACAATTCCTAGCTATTAAAAATTATATTCCAATATAGTAGGTCTCCTTTGTCAGCTGCAGTTGGAAATGACCAGGTGACTTATTATTGCCAAATATGAGAAAACAAATTTACTTTTCTAAACACACACTCAAAAATACAGTTTTCCTTTATGTAGTAAAACAGCAGGAGAGGGAATTTAGTGTTCAGGACACTGAGTAGTTGGTAACTAGCTACTCGCAAACATTTAAAGGAGTTCAATGGAGCTACTCACAGGCATGAAGTTAGTCCCATAATTACGTTTGCAAGATCACTGCTAGTCTTTAATTTTTACAAAGAACCAACGTAATACTTGTCCAATGAATATGATCTATTAACATCCTAATTAATAAAATTCTTCATCATTAAAAGCAAGTACGAAGTCCAGGACAACCACTGTCAAAGACCTTAGGCAGCTCCTCTTGGTTGAGTGGCCTGGGAAGCTGCTGCAACAGCAAATTCGTTACTCTACCAGCTGACAAAGAGGCAAAGGCAAGAAACAGAAATGTGGTATTTGTAGTACTGCGCTGCCAAACTTAGCGTGTCTGTCCTGTTGCTTATTTTGCATTAATGGTAGCAAAAGAAACAGTAACTGAGGTACAGCAATACCACTAAAATGCCCAAAAGCTAGATGAGGACCACATGTGGCTGGTATCTGTATAGAAAAAAAGACTGATCCTTACTGATTGTAGAAGACTTGCTATTACCACCAAACCCACTTATTGCAGCAGCCTTTCCACTTCTACCACTGGAGAGTATGGAAGTTCACACCTCCCACAAGCTGTTTATAAACCTCAAACTGCAACCCTACCTGACGACAACCTTCGAATCCCATTTAGAAGGATTTCTGTGCAAGCACAAGGCAGGAGATCTATGCTAAAAAACCCACCAAAAAAAAAAAAAATCCCAGCATCTCAAATTCCAGTCTTGCTTCTGCCATTTACTAGTTTCAGTTGGGCTAGAGAACACAATCTGAGACTAAATCTGATTTACCAAATTATCCACCAGCCTTGTATGCTGAAGGGCTGGGCTCTCTGCATCTAAGGTACAACTTACCACAGGTCAGCTATCAACTTGTTTGTCAGTCTTTAGAATATGAAAAATAGTAATTTATGCCCAATTTGCTACTTAAGGTGGTCCAAGAATCAATGCAGAGATGCGAGAAAGTATGATTTTGCAAGTGGCCTGGCCTATGTTTACTTGGAAGGACGCTGCCTGCTCTGGCAGGTTTCCTTACTACATTCAAAATAAAGCTTTCAGTTTCCAATTAAGTACAGAGTATTGATCTCAGCATAAATTGGGTGCACTGTACATCAAACTATCCCTCCATGTTCCTCCTCCCCTTGCTTCCCACACCCGTATATTATTTGGTGTCCGTAAAACAATGTGTAGGGAGCAGAACCTGTAGAGATACCACAATACTAATAGGTCTACCGCAATGCATTGGATGGGTGAACACAATGCCGCTCCAGGAGCAGCAGAAAGCCCAAGCAAGCTGTTTTCAGCTATTGATCAGTGTGCAGTTGGCACACAGGGCTAAAACTACACAGCTCAGGGCTGCAAGTGAATGCACAGAAATATCTGAACTATCTCCAGAGCTGCAGCAGCACAAACGGAGAGGATGGTTTGTGGGGTGCGCAGGCAGCGCCGGGAGGCAGGGAGTACCTGCCCCTGCAAGGCTGTTTCACTGCAGTCAGACTCCAAGTTATCTCTACAAATATCCCAGCGCTGGAGCAAAGGTACATGACCACCGTTATTTGCAAAAGGACATAATCTTTTGTGCTGATCACTCATGTAGCCTATTCACTTGCTGTCTAATTCCTCTGCATTACATACTCTTTATTTTAGTTGTCAAGCTTTAAATTGCTCCATTACAGTCATTAATCTTGGAGATGCTTTTCTGCGAACTTGTGTCCCTTCTCCTTTATGAACTCCAGTTCTCTGTAGAACTGGCCCTTGCCTTCCTACTAGCTGAAAAGACGTGGCACAGGCCTGGTGATCTTTGCCATGTTTTGAATAATTAAGTAACATTTCCAGAAAATTGTCCCACACCCATATAAGTTAGGCAAAAGAAATACGGCTTCTAGTAACATAACTCCTAGTTTCACGAGTGTTTCACTCCTACTTTGTAGGATTAAACACAATTCATAATAAAATATAATCACAGAATCATAGAATCACAGAATG